ATAAGAACGAAAGTCTTATGTAGTCGGAGGAATGAGTGACTATATGATATGCTCAGCACGATTAAGCCCTAAGCCTGGAACTGACGAACACTTGAAAAAATAAGAGTGGGTCAGACCCACATGCAAGTTCTATCATACTACAATCCATACAGAAACCCGATACGCAGATACATCCTAAATAGCTCAACAATAACTCGAATAGTCCATATATGTATAAATACACACTATAGGATGCTCACTAGACTATAGTGTACTCTCAGCCTGAATAGAAGGTAACATGCAAATGTAACGCGGTCATGTATACCTAGACCTACCAGGGAACAACAACTATGTCCAGTTATCCATCCTAGGCGATATACGCACCCTAACTATGATCCTAAGACTCAAGCTCATATCACGGTACCATAAAAATATATATAAATCCTTCCTAATACAGAAAAATAAAAACAATCATCCGATATGTCGTTCAACTGTTTTAGTTGACAAGACATGCATCCATGTAGGATTTAACTGTTTTAGTTAATCCATTCCATATGTATGAATAGGTAGGATTTAGCGTTTTGATCTAATACATCCCTAATATGCCACCGTCCCATACCGGTGCATATAATGCATATGATCCATACATGATGCATACTTATTTGAACATCAAATACATCCAGAGACAAATATAATAGAAATCAGATATAGACAAGATCCTATTATGCATTTAGTATATGATTATAATCATAGAACCTCCGTTTAAATTGCTAAAGTAATGATAAACAATTTAAACTATCCATATCCATATAATTGACAGAACATAAATTATAACAGTTCATCAATTAACATCCATAGCACGATATAATGATAAGCAGAATTATGAACTAAGCACATTATACTGGAATACCAAAACCACTTTCATACTAGTCCATTTAATTTACTAAAACAAGACTAGCAATTAAAACTTCCACTACTCCTGACAGCATATAATTTAATATCTAAATTTCATGATGTCTATAACCATAACAGAAACCAACCTTCCTGGGACTTAAATATGTTATATATATCATTTATATAGAATCCCAAAAGTAACTTTTATACCAGTCCATTTAATTTTCTAGAACAAAACTAGTAATTAAACCTTCCACCATCCTTGACAACATGCTTATTAATATTTAAAAATTCATGATGTCCATTCCCATAGCCTAAACCAATAACCTTAGGTCTTTAACGTGTTATATACATCATTTAAAAACCCCCATCAAAGTTCAGAATTGCCCTTTAGCCCCTAGAGTAGTGAAAAATAACAAAAATACCCCCGTAGGGTTGTTTTAGCATGAGAGTCGGCTCCCCCTTCATGGGAGCCGGCTCTGGCACTCTTGGAGCTGGCTTTCCCTCATGGAGAGTTGGCTCTCTCACTTAGGGAGCCGGGGAGCCGGCTTTCTCCTTGAGAGCCGTGCCCCTCCTCCTCTGGTCTTCTTCTTCGCTTCCGGCGAAGTTCAAGTTGTTTGTCTTAATTTTTTTTAAAGGTTTTAGGGTTCAATCCAAGTCCTAACAGTCTTAGAAACTCCTTTGATTCCAATATGAATTGTTTGACAGAAATTTAAATCATAATCGAAACAGTTTATGCAAGAAAACGATTTCAGTTATTTAAACATAGAAACAGTTTACAGTCTGATATAACCTGCATCAAATATTCGTTTTAAAGTTTAAATTAATTCCTGGAGACTATATAGCATGCACAGAATACAGGTTTAAGGGAATGAGTTAGAATAAAACTTGCCTTCGGTTTCAGTTTTGAAACCTTAAACCACCGTCTCTGAGTTTTTCGACTGCCATTCAACACCTCCGTTGCTCTTGGTTTAACCCAAGAGCAATCCCTTCCTTCCTCCTTTAGCCTCTCTTGTTATCTCTCAAGCTTCCCTCTGTTTTCCTCTCAAGAACAATTGCGTGCTTCTGTTTTTCCTCTCAAGAACTATTACATGAATAGGGTTTTCTAACTCTAGCAAACGTATACTGTTCTATATATATAGGCTTAATTAAAGGCACATCTAATTCCAACCAAATTATAAGTCGGCTACCATAACTTCATAAAATAAAACCCTAAACCTAAACTATATACGACACATATAAATTATAAACCAATTAAGTCCACCTAAGCATACAGAATTAACACAAACAAACCATATAAGCCATTAAATAAAACAAGTTAGGTAAATAAACAATTAACCAAATAATTAAATTAATTAAACAATTAAACAATTAATTTACATAAATAAATAATTACCATTCAACAATTAAATTAAATAAATAAACAAGTTGAATTAAACACGTAATATAAACAAATACACAATTAACCAATTAAGTAAATAAGCACATAATTAAATAAAAACGCAATAAAATCCTTAATTAAAATACCGAGACTATCCTTTTAAAATTACGGGTAGTACACTATGTAGAGTCGGAAGAGTGAATAGTTGTCTCTGCTCGGCATAAACAATCTCTAAGACTGGAACTGACGAACACTTGAAAAATAATGGTGGGTCAGGCCCACCAATAAGTTATACTCTACTATAGTCCAAATAGAGACCCGATAAACATATACATCTTAATCAACTCAACAATAGCTACGTAGTCCGTGTATATATATATAGATACACACTAAATGACTCTCACTGGACTACAAGGCGGTCTCAACCGGACTAGTAGACAACATACAAAAACACACATGAAGTGGGCATGAGTGTCTACTAGTCAGGTTGAGACCGCCTTGTAGTCTAGTGAGAGTCATTTAGTGTGTATCTATATATATATACAAGGACTACGTAGCTATTGTTGAGTTGATTAGGATGTATATGTTTATCGGGTCTCTGTTTGGACTGTAGTAAAGTAGAACTTGTTCGTGGGCCTGACCCACCATTATTTTTTAGGTGTTCGTCAGTTCCAGTCTTAGAGATTGTTCGTGCCAAGCAGAGACAGTCATTCACTCTTCTGACTCTAGATAGGACTCTTCTTCATGTTTTAGTTATTAGTTTTTTCAGTTTAGTTATTTCAGTTAGGATATTATTAGGGGTCCACAGTATGGATTCCTGAGTTGTAGTTTAATTCATTACTAGTATCAGAGGATTGGAGGATTTTATTATGGAATTTTTAATTATTATTTATTTAAGGATTTTTAAATAAGGATATATTATTTAGTTCCCTTCAGCGTATTATTTATTTATTTCTTTATTCTTTTTGTATTCCAATGCTTGTTTAAATATTAATTATTTGATATCCCTTATATTCTATGCTCGGACTTGATCACCCGTGACTTTAGAATCGAGGGGTTTCGATCACAGTTGGTATCAGAGCCAGGTTAGTAAATATATATATATCCATGCTATATATATAAATCCGTACTATATGTATAAATCGTACATATATAAAGTGTACAAACACACACATATATATATATTCGTATATATATATCCCTAAATACATATAAATATTCCTATATATATACACATTAATATATTATATGTATATATATTTGCCCAACCATACCACTATGGGCTAAAACGTCAGCCCGTCCAAGTTTCTTCCCTATGACCCAACACCATTTAGTTGGCCAACACTACAAGTCCAAAACCTCCTTTAATATTGTTTTTTTTAAAAATAAAAATAAAATAAAGTAATTTATTTAAAACCTTAAACATCTAACTAAACAAAACAATTAAACAAATAATTCAATTAACACATAAACAATCAAATCAATTAAACAAGTAAACAATTAGCCAATAAATCAAATAAATAATTAAAAATACAATTAAAATAATTAAATAAATATCGAGACTATCCTTTTAAAATTAAGATATTACAACTTGGGACTTTCCTTTCTGGTCCCAAGCTCATACGTTCCCTTTCCCAGTCGAGACCTAGTGGAAGGTAACTCGAGGCTGCGTAATCAATTTGGTCGATGAATAGTCCATAGTAAGACTATCCGCAAGTTATTGGGTGATCAACACTTCAGCTTTTTATCCGTAGAAAGGAAGCTTCTGAAGGGATACATAGAGGACCCATCTTATTGGACCGGGATACATCCATGATTAGAGGAAGAGAGAAGGGTATCTACCCCTTCCTCTTTTTGACACAGATCTTCGTGGTCTCAACTCGAGCAGTTCAATATCGTGGAAATGCCATATAGGGTTTGACATTGCTTGGCCAACCATAGCCCCGTATGCCAATTAACAATAAGAAATGACACATGGAGTTTGACATGGCACAACCACCTACAACATATTTGGGTTGAAACGTTGGACCGGTCACTTTTTGAAATTATTAGTTCTTTGGGCTTGTCCTAGTGGGGGCTTGGGCTCCGTGACCAATGTTTGTATTATCCAAATGTAGATGGACTTTTTTGGGCTAAATTCCATTTAAGGGTTTGTAGAGCTTATTCACATATATTGAATTAAATTCAATAATAATAAAAATATGAGTTATAAAAGTGGAATAATATCAATTTTAGTCTTGCTACTTGTTATTTTTGGAAGTCCACAGTTTGAACTTAGTATTTCAAATATAATAGCCATATCTACTTGTTTTTTTTTTTTGTTTAACCCAATTAAAATTATCCAACTACGAACTCATCCATAACAATTATGCAGCACAACTCTCTCTCACTATATATATACTGACAGCTTTTATCCGCTGGTCGATTTGCCTTATTAGGTATTTTATTAGATAAATCTGACATCCCTTTTTATCTCGTGGATATAAACATAACTTATGCGGTTGTGCATTCTCTTTCTAAATAGGGCACTAATTAACCACAAAATACATACTAAGAAAAATCAAGGTAAATTAAGAGGATCACTCATCCTCCATAGATAATTCCACAACTCTTGTTTCTACATGCCTAACTTTAGTAAATTCATGACCAGAACCAACTAAATAAAATTTTCTCACCTCTCAAATTTTCCCTCTATATAATCTCCTAACCCCACCGCATTTTCTCTCGTTCCCAACCGAGCCAGTGATAAAAGATGGAGATCTCTACAAGACGATCTTCATTGCTTATCAGCATTCTCATATCTGCCCTGCTCATCCAACACTTCTCCGTGGTGCAATGCTCGAAGGGTTATATCGAAAAAAAGCAGCAGAAAGCTGCAAAGGTGATGAACAAAGCTGCTGCAAAGGTAGAGAAAACAGCTGCAAAGGTGTCGAGGAAAACTTTACCTGCGGCAACAAAAGTCAAATCTGTACCTGTACCGGTGAAGAAGGAAGCAAAACCTAAAGTTGCACCTAAAGTTGTACCTGTGCCGGTGGTGAGGCCAGGGACGGGAAAGAAGGCGTTGGAAAAGAAGTGGTGCATACCAAAACCAGAGACGAACACTGATATCTTGCAGAACAACATAGACTTTGCATGTGGCAAAGGAGGAATTGATTGCAAGGCGATTAGAGCTGGTGGGCCATGCGTTGAGCCTAACACTCCCTGGTCTCATGCAGCATTTGTCATGAACGCCTTCTATCAATCCACTGGTCAAAGGGATTGCAATTTCGCTGGCTCTGGTGTTGTAACCCAGGATGACCCAACAAGTAAGTGATAGCCCATTTTTTTTTTTTTTTTTTTTGACGAAAAGTCTATCGGTTTATGGTTACAAGGTAAATATCACACATCCTTTATTTCTAATTTTATATGAGTATATGTGTGTGTGTGTGTGTGTGTGTATATATATATATTCTCTTATAATATTAGAATAATGAGATACCATTTAGAATATCACATACCATTTTAGAATAATGAGATACTCATATTTCTTATGTTTGATTGCAGAGGGCGGTTCGTGCTTCCCAAATCAAGGACAGGTTAGCTAGCTTGGTCTCTTGTATTTTTCATACTTTTGTGACTCAACTTATGACCTGCCCATTTCAACCCGTCCAATTACCATGCCCTAGTTGTGCATATGCTTCCAACTCATACTTATTGGTATTTCAAAAGAATTTCCATGACATATAGCAGTACTCTAGTTGTTACCGACTTTTTATTGAATTAGATAAAAGGAAAATGATATTGAAACCAATAACTCAGACCTAAAAGATAAATCGAAGTCTTATTTACTGTGAAATATGTTTCAAGTATAATTGATACTTTTACTTGATATATCTTAGAGCATAAAAGCCCTTCTTTAGATATTTTAAGTTTAAATTATCGATTAGAGTGACAGTGTTCTTATTTAATTTTTGTTTATATAGGCAAAATCGTCGTCTGTGTCACAGAAGTCATCGCCAGAACAAGCGTTTAGTGGCAAGATAAAGCCAACACCACCCGGAACGATTAAGAAGTATTGCCTACCAAAACAAGAGACAAGTCCAAGTGCATTGCAGAAAAACATAGACTATGCGTGCGCCAAGATTGATTGCAAGCCCATTCAACCTGGTGGTGAATGCTACGAGCCAAACACTGTCAAAGATCACGCTGCATATGCCATGAACTACTACTATCAATTGTCTGATCGCAGAGAGTGTGATTTCTCTAACACTGCTTTGGTAACCAGCGAAAACCCAAGTAAGTACTCATCAAGGTTTACTTAATTTCCACATTTTTTACCACTTCATAGTTAATTTGAATGAATATATATATAGAAATGATTCGGAGTTAGAAAGTCAGTCAGGCAATTTTCGACTGATTTATGTGAGTGTTAATATCCCTGACATCATTATCTATACTCCCATAAAACTAGGCTGATTTGTCGGGCCTCAATATCATTACTTGTAGACTTTAATTTGTTAGAAGCACTTTAAAAATATTAACCATACTAATCATCTCTTTAATGTCTGATTACAGGTACGGGTAAGTGCCAATACCCTGCTTGAGGCCAGATGTGAAAAGGAGAACAAAATAGCTCAGCGGAGTGGCGGGAAGAAATGAGAAAAATTATTTGTTCATATTTCTTTTTCTTTTTTCAATATTTTCATTGTAACTTTGAAGGTTCAATGAGTAATATAAGCGCACTATCTATGGAGAAATCTTCAAGTTATAGCCAATTTGATTCCTTTTCCTCTACATCCGCACCAAGGGCGGATTCAGTCTTTTTAAATGGGGTGAGCTAATTTTGGACCGACTAACTTTGAACAGGGCTACCATTATTATTATTATTATTATTTTTTTGGGCTGGACTTAAAGTAGTATGGTAAAATTTTTTTTTTTTTTTTTTTTTTGGGGTGGGCTGAAGCCCAGCTTCACCCACCCTTGGATCTGCCCTTGATCCGCACAATATTTGGATGACAGGGGATTCCAGCATTTATATATATATATATATATATATATATATACACACACGGAGATATATTTTTATTTTATATCCCAGCAAGAAAAACTCACACCTATTTACGGGCTGTTTGTGCTCCATGTTGCATATATGTGTAAACTTTAATTATTTGTGTCAAGCATTAATCACAAATAAATATAAATTCCAAGATCTTAGAATTTCATTATTTTCACATATCTATAATACATAAATAAAGTAGTTAAATATAAATATCTCGATCTGTGATTGCAAATATCGTAGAGATCAAGTCCAATGTCGAGATCGAGATCCTTTAACAACGAACTAAGCTATAACTCCAAATAATAGGCAAAGCGTGGAAACTAATTTCTCTCTCTTGGCCTTTTGCACATATAAAACTTTATACGTGTTCTTTCATTAGTGTACATAATTGATGGGATGAGGAATGGGAACTGCAGTAGCCCAAGGCAACTGCAGTTCCACAGTCGTTACACGTGTCAGCAGCCTATTATTGGCTGCTGACTTTTGTTAATTTTTTTATTTTTTATTTTTGTTTCGAGCTGGTCTCCTTTTCTCTTTCCGCTCTCTTTCTCTCTCACTCTCCGGCAGTCTCCTTCACTCTTCGCTCTTTTTCACTCTCTACTCACTCTCTTAACCCAAAATCCATAATTGGAGCTCAAGTCTGTGTGCAACGTGGAGAAAGAACCAAACCCATATAAGAAATTGTAGGAAAATCAGAACCCAAAATCAATTGGATTGAATTTGAATCTTCAATTTGAATCTTGGATGGATATTTTGGAAGAGAGACCAAAAAAGAAAAAAAAATAATAATCAAATGGTGCGGTGGTTGGTGGTTGGAGGTGGTGGTTCGCCGGAGGGTGGTTTGTAGATCTGTTGGGATTCGGCAGACCCCTCGTCAACGGCTTCGGCGCAATTGTCGCAGTCCACCACCGACTGAGTTTCTAAATTACAAACACCATGGTGAGGAGAGAAAGTGAACCAAATATGGTGAGGAGAGGACCAGCGGCATAGACGGCATGTTATTTGCCTGTCGCCAGAGACTTTCAAGTAGAGAGAGGGGGGGAAAGAGAGAAAATGAGACAAGACCTTTGTCGGGCGTGACCGGCTCAAAAAAAAAAAAAAAATTCAAATAGAAAATGGCAGAGAGAAGACCAATTTTCCTTTTAGTAACTTAATATCCACTTTCCATCAAAGTAAGGAACAAATAGAACATACTTCTCCAATAATTAATTACCTTCTCCAATAATTAATTACAAAAAAGGTAATTAATAAGTTGACTAAATAATATAATATTAATCTGATAGCTATTTATTTAACCACCAATTAATGAAATATATCACATGTCCAAATCATGTAGGCTACATAATTAATAAATAATCTTACAATCTCCCACTTCGCCTATATGATAACTTTCGTAGTGACTTAGTAAAATAATCATTAGTGTGCACCATAAATCAGATTGGGTAATTAAGTTGGTTATCATTAATACCTTGGTAAATAAACTACCAATGCGAGTCATGACTGTTATATATCACTAAATGACACAGTCTCTTTCATGTACCACAACACTAGTAACCTATTCAACATAGTCTATAAATGAGAAGAATCAATAATGATCTAACAATAATGTCTTTTCCAAGACTATTCCTATTACCACTTATTAAAGCAATACGTACATTAATTAATAGAAAATATCATAAACATATTTAATGAGCGCACACAAAATGTCAAATATATATAAGTACTGTTAAACAATTCATAATAAAAAATAATCATCGTTGACTACATTCAAGACACATTCTTCCAATATGTCTTGGGTGGTAGTTCATTCGTTAATGGATTGCAATCATAAGTTGTGTACTTATATGTTCAATAGACACTCATTGTTTCTAAATATATTCTTTAACGATAAAGTATTTCAACTTTAAATTACCTATCATTTTTCATACAAGAAGATCAACAATTGTAGTATAAATTTTTAGCAATCTGAAAATGGTACCCATAAATTCAAGTCCTGAAATAAATTCTGCAACCATAAATTGTAACCTCAAAGCATGTTACAAATTAAAATTTCATAATAGACAAAGTAATAATAAATTACTTTACACTTTTTCATAATATTGTTTTTCCAGTCAAAAGGAACAAATAACCAATTGTGAATTAATTACTATTCGTGTATTCATAAAAATGTTTTTCTAAGTGTGAGCATATAATCTTTTATCCCTTACCAACTTATATATACATTAAACTCCATAATATATGCATAAGGATTTCTTTTTTTCGTTTATATACTTTCTAGCTAACTCATTCTTTGGGATTGCATTAGGCTGAATTTATCATTTTTTTATGTATGGAACAATACTGGTTGAATAATGTTCTATACCAAATCTTTCTAGAATTATTTCAATATATGTTTTCTGGGACAATCTTAAAAATTCACGTGATCTATCATGAAATATTTTTATTCCTATCACTCACGTAGGATGCCTCATCCATATCTTTCATTTCAAAGTTCTTAAAGATAACTTTTAGTTTCATATAATAAACTAAGATCACTACTAGCAAACAAAATATCATCAACATATAGAATTAGAAATACAAACTTACTCCCACTAACCTTATGTTATATACTCCGATCAACAGTATTTTCCTTAAAACCAAAAAAAATAATGGTATCATTAAACTTAATATATCATTATCGAGAAGCTTATTTAAGTTCATATATTGACATCTTAAGTTTACAGATCATGTATTCTTTACTCTCTAATTTGAAGCCTTCAGGTTATTCCATATAAACTTCCTTTTTCTAAACTCTCATTCAGAAAAGTTGTTTTCACATCCAATTGATGTAACTCTAAATCATAATGAGCTACTAATATCATAATAATTCTAAAAGAATCCTACTTAGATACTGGAGGGAAGGTTTCTTTATAATCTCTTCATTCATGACACTGATCCATTTAGTAAAATTATTACTGTTAATGGCTTTTGAATAGAAAATCGAATCCTTATATATCTCAATATCAAAATCAGATTCTTACAAATATACCACATAGTCATCCGGAATAGCAAATTTCCTTTATTTTTGAGATCGTCTTAATGTTATTCCTTATGGTTCTTTTACAATCTATTCATTGGTGACAATCTCATCTTGGAGTTGTTGATCATTCAATAGTTATTCATTGTTATACAGTTCAACAACTTAAGAAACAATTATTTCCTTGTAAGTTATGGGTAAAGGAATTTATACCTTAACTTTTTGAATGATCACATTCTTATTTTTTTCCACTCCCACTAATTTCACCATTCTCAATAAATCTGGCATTTTCGATTTCAAAAATTCTTGTATTATGTTTAAAACAGTAAAACTTGAACCCTTTAGATTACTTAACATCCACAACATTATGGTTAATAAGGAATTACTTAACATACTCTTAACCATATCCATAAGAGTACGATTACGCCTTTCAGCTGCACACTTCTACTGTAGCATGCATAACATAGTGTATTGAGCACAAATGCCATGTCTTATAAGGAGTTTAGCAAACGGTCCAGGGTATGAGCCCGTTTCATCATCCTTTCCATAATATTCACTACCTCTATATGACCTTACGATTTTCACTTTTTTGTCTATTTGCCTTTTAACCTCATTTAAATAAAATTCATTTTTTAAGACTAAACAAAATGTCTCAATGGTTTTAACAACACATTTTTCCAATTCTCATAAATGAGAAATTCTTATTTGAATTTGTGGTTTAGGGCATAAGTAATCCTTGCATCTATTAGAAATATAAACATTAATAATTAAGTTAACCTATCATGTATTAGTAAGAATTTCAATAAGCAATTCGAAATATACAAAAGCCAAAGGCTTACTATTTTTTTTTTCGAATCATCCTTTATATTTCATGTAATATTTCTAAAAGTTTTCAATACATAAACGACACTTTTGCATTATTACATTCCTTTCTTTTAGTTCGACCTAAATATTTTAATTTTTGATGTTGTTCACTTAATGCCTTTTTCCAAATTTCTTTCTAGCTTTTTAAGTCATCAGATGAACATAATGATTACCTTGCTGCTTAAGTCTTGTCTACTCCTAAATTAACATAATGGTCAATTAATTCACTTTCCACTTATCTTAATAACGATAATTCGAAATGACCCATATTGAGTAAACAAGAAATTGAGAATAAATTGAATAAGAAAATTCTTATCCACAATCATCCTTAAAGGTTCTCAATTTTGCAGCAACGTTAGTCATCTTAAAATTATGTTCATATATGGTACGAGTACCAACAAAAAATTTTATAGTAATGATATTAATCAATAATTTTTGTTTTAGATATTTATCTACAATACGAAAACATTCTTTTAGTCAAATATTCCTTAGCATTATCACTATGGGGAACAATTATTCGCATAACCATAATGTTTAATCTGCTCGATCTCTCCCAAGTTTTGTGGAGAATCTTTTCTTCCTCAGTGTCTTCATTAGTAATAACAGTAGGTTTCTAAATTTAAATGCTAAATCAAGATCTAACACCCCTAAAATTTGAACTTAACTTACTCTTTCCATTATGAGAAGTTAGTCCTGTTGAGAATCAGAACAGGTGTAGCATGCGAATTAAGAGATGTAATAAAACAAACATAACAAGATAAAATACTCACAACAATAATGCTTTGAGTTAACAACACGTATATATAATTTAAAAATAT